TTAAACTTGTCATGCCACACCCATTGTAGTGAATCACACTCATTCCCTTTGTATTCCATTGGTGAGATGTATGTCCCACTTGAACAGCTTCTTCCCATAAACTGCTACTTTGTGGAACCAACTCCCAAGAGGATACTTTCTTGATCACTACAAGTTTGACCTGTTCAAGTCTAGAGTTAACTATAATCTTCCCTATACATCTATATAAACTGTACCTCTTATTTTGTAACCCTCTACTTTGAATGGCTCTTCAGCCTTGTACAGGGTGAACATCTTTGTAAAATAAAATTCTGTGACTTAAATTGTCTTAATACCTACTATGATGTATAGCTATACACTCAAGGAGGATCCTTGCTTTAAACAGTCACTGGGACTCAAGTTCATCCGAAACCAAGTGGAACTCATATATATGATCCATCGCTAAAGATGCTGGTAAGATGATTAGTTCCTTGTTGTGTCGGAAACCTACCACCCCTCTTGAAGATGAACTTGTCTGTGAACAAAGACTTTAAATAGTGGCATGTCAAAAGACAGATGGACAGAGAAGTTCTTAGTTGAGCTAGTTATTGACTACTCAGGCGATTTCTGTACCTTTTTACCAACCTATTAAAACCCTTTTTATTGTTACGTGTTATTTGGCATTTGTCTCTACTAACCCCAAATCAACATCATAACATTCCTTGTACGCCTCCAGAAATTACCTGACTCCATCTGATATGCTCATTACAGAAAGCCAGATCACAAATGAAGTACTGTTGTCATTTCTGGGCTGGAGCTACACAATCTACACTTTACAGACTTAAGGCAGTAAAAGCATCTATGCAGCCTTGTGGGTGATTAATTATTCCCCCTTTTCTCCAGATGAAATATCACAAGCCTCTTACTATTCTATCACTATTTCCATGGTAAACTGCCATGGAAATAGTGACAGAGTTCAAACTTTTACAAGTAAAACCTACTGTACCATATACACTAAGATGAAGCATCCCAAATTTTTCATTTTTATAGTGAAATACTAAAAATGTACAGAGCCCCATAATATGCAATTTTCAAAATTCAATGTTCCATTGAAAATTTAATAAAAGTAACAGTTAATGATTTTGTTTTAAATAAATCAAGTTTTATTTTTTCTATTTTGTGATATTAGCTTTTATTTTAGATCATTCATTCATTCTCTCATTTCGTTAATATAATTTTTTTAAAAAATCATTTCACACAAAGTAAGGCAATAAAACCACTTAGATGCAAGGGGTTACTGAGTGTTAGAAAAATGTACTATTAAGGAGAGAGGATAATAATAAAAGAACAAGAATTAAGAAGACAGAAAATAACAATTGATATTGGATTTAAATTTTTGAAGGTCAAAGTCGACTGAAAAGCAAGAAGCCAGAAGTGAGTTCCAAAAGTGTGAAGTGTGAGAGAAGAAACTGTTAGAATAAAACTTACCTTTACATCTAGCCATTTCAATTATAAAATAATGAGACCTAGCTACCAATCTAGTACTGTGCTAAATTCTAGGTACCATAGAGGAAAATTTATCAGAACAATTACCATGGTAGTATTTATAGAAAAGACACAGAGAAGATACATTACATTGGCAGTGGGAAAGTAACTGAAGCTGAGATGCCAGGTGAGACTTGTAGACTCTCTGGATTTTGTCAAGAATCTCTAAATATATATCAGAAGCACGAGACCAAATCATATGTGGCAGCAATATTCAAAGCAAGGACAAATAGTAAACTTATATGTAAGATAGATTTTGATAAGAAAAATGACCTTTTCTTTCTGGATTTCTATTTTTGTCCTCCTCTCTTTCATTTTCCATCTCTATCAGTTTTTCCTCAACTCAACAAACAATATTTTTTTTTAATCATTTCATTCCAAGTAAGGTGATAGTACCACTAAGATGCAAGGGGCTACTGGGAGTGAAAGAGAATGAAAATACTTTAGAATTAACCAGAAATCCAATCCTAAACAGGAAACAAGGGATATATCTAGGGTTGTTCAAAAGACCTGGGAGTTGTGTCAACTAGACTATAGGTGAATCTATCTATGCTTATTTAGGAAAAATAAATAAATAGTAAATAAAAATTTCAGAGTTTAAGCGAAGGAAGACATTAGAAGTATAGAGTAGAATTAGACTTTAGAATGAACCGGAAACCCAATCATAAATGAGAAACAAGGGATAGACATTTACTATTATTCAAATATGAATACCTATGTCATCAGCATATCCCTCCTCCTCATTATCATCAATATATTGACTTGGAAGAGAAAGTAGGATTGCTGTCTTCTATTGGTAGATTTATTTGGGGTGTTGGATGGGATGCTTAAATGATGGGCCCATCTCTTTAAATCTATGTTTATAAATGCACAGGGTTATAGTCTAGGAAATAATAAAATTGAGTAGGGCTCTCATTTCCTCCCTGTTGTACTTTTAATGAGATTGAAATGTTTCTGTACTGAGATCATCACCGGACAAACCTCCCATCAATACGGGAAAGAGCAGTAACAGTTAGTGGACTTGAGAAACGTATTTCCCTGAAAAATTATTTCAATAGAAGGATTTTATGACTTTCAGCCAACAGTAATACTTGCTGCTTAGTCAATGAATTTAAAAGGTATCCTTACGTTACAGTTAAATAATTACTATTACCGTACATCATCCACCCACATTCTAAAAGCTTGAAAATTCACAATTTTTTATAAGCAACATTAAAACTAATCTATCACTACTTGTCCAATCTGGTGTTATCTTTAAAATTTAAAACTTAAATAATCTATGGGGAGTGTTGTAAATTTTTCCATCCTAAAATTTGCAACATGGATAATATGGCAAATGTCTTGGTAGCTGTCGCAGTTATAAGAAGCAAATAAAAATGCTAATTACCCTGGCTCTGGATAGCAGGTTTTAAGAAAAAAAAGTTTTATTGACCTGAAATATAAACATTTACAAACAGTGCAAAATAATACAATAATAGCAATACAAAGGAAATATTGTACAAGAATGTCCTCTTGTGCTCTCAAAGCAAAATGATTTCTGGGATGTTTTAACAAATCATGTAAAAAGCATAAAGGCTCGACCTAAGGCAGAGTCACCTACTGTGATGGCAACCAATGATAACTTCCAAATAACACAAAAGATCTTGGAATTTCCCTCTTCAGGAGTGTAAACTATAGTAGAGTTTCCCCACTCTGCAGGGAAATAAAGTAAATAGATGAATTTCCCATGCTCAGAAGGATGAAAATTCTGTACCAATTTGCTTGCACTATGGGGGAAGAAAATAAATAATCATGAGTTATGTTCCAATTTCTTCATGCTCCAGTGGGGAGTAAGATAAAAGTTCAATGAAAAAGGATGAAACAAATTACTTTTTTTTAGTTCAGTCCCCAAAAATACAAAAATATCTGTTGGTTGCAAAACTTACTGGGTTCTTCAGGTAGAGGTCATAGTTCAGAAGATCTGAGATGATTGTCTAAAGAAAATCTTGAAGAAATAAACTTCTTGGGGTCTCTCTTAGGAAGTTTATTTTTTCAACATCATATCAACTGTTTCCAATTGGTTAAGGAACTATATATCTTCTAGAAAAAAGTCATATTAGCTATCAGGAGGCCTGGTGCATGCTACCCCCAACCCCTGACTGGAGGAGGCAAACCTGATTGAGGGCTCTTTTTCTACCTACATTTATATATGTTACAAATTAAACTAAGAACAAATGACTATTAATGGATTAAAAATTTTCAGATTTTTACGTCATTCTTGAGTATTTTTTTTTTATCCAAATCTCTAAATTTGTTTGGTTCATGCCAAGTCTAAAAAACAAAACTATATAAAATTCACTATTTTTTTATCCACAATGTTGATTGTGTGACAATTATTCAACTTTTTAACAAGTTGATATCAAAAATTGCCACAAAATATTGTTGATTTGGAATGATCAATTATGACATGTCAGTAATTTGTATTTAGATACATTATATTTATTTTCAATTTTTCTAGTTGAATTGTTCACCTATATCGTATATGATCCATTATTGTACATATTTAGGTTACAATAAATTTTGTATTTTATATGAATACTACCTTATGAAAATAGAAATCCAGTAGAGTGGGACCCCTATATCATAGATTGGGGAAGGTTTCGAGACCTTTGCAAGAACCCTGGCTATCAGGTTTTATGATAATATTTTTGTGGGAAGGGTATGAAGAATATGCAACTAACTTGAACTCAAAATTTACCCCCAATTAAATATTCAACACTGAAAAATAAGTTAAGGATATTACTTCTTGTAAATAAGAACACTGATTCTTTAAACAAACTGAAAATGATTTTGCTTTATTTCATGCCTTTTGCCTTTAGAGCTTGTGTTTGGGGTATTTTTCTTTGTTCAACTGTCAACTAAACTGCAGGTGAGCTTTGCAGATTTTGGATTTTTCTCATGTCAAAGTGGAACAAAATATCTTTCATTTGTGCTGTGATTGGTGGTGGTTATTTTCATATGCTCTGATTTCTCAAATTAAACTTAACTTTGCAGTATCTTGATCATGCACATTTGATTTTAAAAATCAATGCTTCAAATCTTTAAGTCAAATACAATACAACAAAAAAGTTTCTTAAAATCCATGTGATATTTTATTGATTGTTTAACTCAATTTCAGTGGCTCATTGCAAAGATAGCACTAATCAGTGAGCCTGGATTTTTATGACCAAATATAAATGTAATGTAAATAAAATAATAATGTAATATAAATGTAACTGGGACTATTAAAAGAAGCAAATTTATAACAAAGGTAGGGGTTAACAGAAATATATATATTACCATAAAACATTAAAGTCAAAGTACAATACAATTAACAAAAATAGGGCTCAACTAGTTTATCATTCCTGCCATCAGAGCTAAGATCAAGGACAAAAATGTTCAAAAACTCTAAAAATGAATACCCAAGATAAATGTTAATGAAAGAAAATATAACACCTACATTTCAGTTTACCGAGGCTTATGCCCATATCATGTTGAAATACCAGTTCTCATATGATCACCAAAGTTAAGCAATGTTGAGCCTGGTGAGTACCTAGGTGTGCAACTGCTTTGGAATATCAGATGCTGTAAGCTTGAATCTGCAGATGGTTTAATAGACAAAGGCTTTGAATTGGAACTCAGTTCTCCAAGTTCCAATTCCAGTCAGGTTCATTATACTCACTTATGTGCCAATAACCTTAGCAAAGATTATATATCTGCCTCCCTCCTTCCAGCTATAGGTTAATTAGAAGGACATGTATAAGTCAAGGACATGTATAAGTCAATTATTATCTCCAAAAAATTCTTACAATCTAAAATGCTTTCTGGCTTTAAATAACCTGCAAAATGTTGGTAAGCTATAAAAAATGAATGAATCAATCAAATTTAAGCCTACCAACCACTCCTGTGAAAGTTTTGATATCTATTTATATTAAGACCTACCAGCCATCTTTCCATATGCAGAAGGAGAGGTTGGTGGGCTTAAATGTAATTATCCTATGAGGAAAGGCATGGTGGAATAACAGATAGTGGCTTGGCTTGAAGAATCGGAGAGCTGAGTTTGAATTCTAGTCATGTTCATTGTATTCACTTATATGCTAATACTCTTGGGAAAGGTTTAAATCCATCTCTTCCCTACAAGCTATGGGTAAAAAGCAGAACAGGTTGGTCTCTATAGCCTTGGTTGGCAACAAAACTAGAAGGAAAGCTCTGCCTTGTAGGTACTGTAGGCTAGAAGAAGGTAACTTCAAAAACAAATCCACCTTACATGTCACCTCGAAGAATAAAACTGGCCTCCCTACTTCAAGCCACAACAGAAAGTAATGAACTACTCAGGCTTAGTACAATGGTTCATTCAAACACAAGACTGAAATGGGGCCTCTCTGATTTCAGAACATTCACCCATGGGTGTATCACCTAAGGCACTTTAGATGACAATCCTATAAGTTTTATATTTTCTAATAAGAAATGGAAAAAATTTCATTAGAAACAAAGAAAAGAGTACTGAACTTACATATTATTAGTCCTACTATATGGCAGTAAATGCTGGACAATCTTTTCACAGATGAAGAGGAGATTTGAGGCAGCAGAAATGTGGTTCTAGAGAAGGATGATGAAGCTACCATGGACTGAACATGGGAATAATGACAAACTTTTAGAGAAAATGGAAACAAAAAGGACACTTAGCATCATGAAGAGATAGTCAAAATTTCTAGGGAAGATAATGAGAAAACAGGAGAGATTGAAAGCAAGAGGGACAGAGGAAAGCAAAACATAACCTACTTTGTGAGCTTGAGTAAATGGATGGTAGGATGGGGTTTAAGAGACATAACAAAAAGACAAAATTTATTAAGAGCTACAAAAGACAGGAAATTGTGGAGAGCCATGATCACCTACATCCTGAAGAGATATAGCATATAGAAGAACAACATTTTTCTCCTTGATCTTATCTCCGACATAAGAGGAATGATAAACTGGTTTAGTAATTTTTTGTTTTTTTTGAGGCAATTATTTGTATTTTGATATAACTATTTTATTACAATGTATTTTTTTGTTGCATCATCTTTTTTATCTTAAATTTTCATTTTTTTAATATTCCCATTTTTATCATACTACTAAATTCACAGTATGCCATATTTACTTGTGTCTGAGTCTGTCTATATTTCTGAGATGAGAACAGAGAACTGAGAACTAGAACAGTCTACCCCAGTGATCGAAATAAAGGGTTCAGTTCGAAATTCCAACCACCTGAAGAAGGTCGGAGCATACAACGGCCGAAACGTTGTGACAAATATGGTGACAAAGATGAGAACAATAGTCCGACTAATGTAAATACTTTACTTGTGTCTGTTGTGATCTCCCATTCTTGTATACTAGATGAATAAATTCTTGTGCAAAATAAAATCTCCCACTTCACTTGAAAAATATGAAATGATCAGTTTCCAATGTACACAATATATTTTACTCTTAAAAAGTTTTAAAAAGCAATATCAGGTCAGGCTGTGATCATCCTTGATTCCACTTGAGTTTCAAACAGAGGAGCAGCTGGAGTGAAAGCTGGTGGCTGGATTTTTTTTAAAATAATTGTTTAATTATTTTTGGTAAGGAAATGTTTTCTTCTTGAATACTGTCAGCCTAAATTAAAGGTCGGGAAGAAATTTTCTGAATTAAGAGGATAGTTGAAATAATATCCAGGTTGCATTTTGCTCCAAAAATCAATAATCATCCCAGCCAGTCTATTTGAAACTCAAATATACTTTAGATCAGTGGTTCTCAAACAATGCCTCATATGTGCGGCAGAAGAGGATAGCAGGTGAGGCAGAATAATTGAAAGACAATCAAAGATTTAGAAACAGTTTAAAAAAATTCATATGCCAAAAATAAATATGATTTCAAAATTTAAAATATTCTTATGGATTAATTGTAATTGCATGCATGAATTCCAGTATAAATACTTATAAATAATTATTGCCCCATTTTATCCTGGTAATATTTTTGCATTATATCAAGTATTAAGAATGTAGTAACTAGCGTCTGCAAATTGGCGGAGAGAGTTATCAATAATAATGTTCTGATTTTGAATTCACGGTTATCCCCTTTTAACCCACTCTCTGTTTTTTTTTTTATTTTTAATTGTATTTGTTATACCATAAAATTTGGTGGGGCACAAGCAAATTTTAATTCCAAAAATGCTGCCCAAAGAAAAATAAGTTTGGGAATCATTACTTTAGATGATATAAAGATGAGGATTTCTTCTTCACTACAAATATCTTCTGGCCCGATATGTATGTATAGCTGGCCACTTGTATTTGAGGATACCTGTCTACTAGGGTGGCTAACTAATCCCTGTTGCAGATTCTTGCTCAGGTGCATTTATTTTTTATTCAACACCCACAGAGCCCACCTGTGGTTTATACTGTGACTATGCTGAGAAGACCTTAGTTACAGTTTCTGGGAAAGAGCATGTTATCTAGTGTGATCAACAATTTGAACAAGGCCAGCATGCCCAAGCCCTCAGCCACGAAGACTTGTGACTTTGTGATAGCACAGCTAATGACAGGCTCAAGGGTTGACTGGGATCGACCCCTCCAGTCTGATAACATCAGGAAGTCTTCTTCCTGACAAATCGACTATGGTGAGATTCAAACCCAGGTCACATGGTCAGAATGCAAACATTCTGACCACTCAGCCACATGCCCAGATATACAAAATGGTCATTCATGAAATTAAAAATACATATTGCAAGTTGTTCAGAACCAATTTAACTATTCATGAAAATTGTCTTTTTGGAGCGGGATTATTGTACAGATCTGCTGCTTCATTGATACAAATTAAGAAAATTACCTATATTCATTCTGGTACAAAATTTCTTACATAGTGCACAATTAAATATGGCAGATATTTTGAGTGCAAATAAAAAGTTAACTCTGCATAGATAGAAAGATAGAGTGATTGTTAGATAACTTGCTTTGAAGCAACTTGAAGCAGAACAGGTTGGTCTCTATAGCCTTGGTTGGCAACAAAACTAGAAGGAAAGCTCTGCAATTTCAAATTAAATTAAGCAAAAAATATAAATTATTTACATTTTCCTCATCTTTGTCGCCATATTCTTGACATCTACATTCCTTCTTCAGGTGATTGAAATTTCAAACTGAACCCTTTATTTCGTCCACTGGAGATTTTTCTAGTTCCACATGTCATACCACATCAATTTTTTTTTTAACTATCAGTCAAATATCAGTTTAACTCATAACTCTTTATGTTAAGTCCCTGGATTCAACCAATGCTTTTATCCATGTGTCCTTGAGGACATCAGTATATGAATTTTGGGGATTTATAAACCTAATGTCTCAGTATCATTTTTTGCCAGAGCTCATATTACAAAATAAAATAAATACATCCATAATATCACTTGATGATTTCTGTCTGAATTTTGGAGATGAGGAGTCATTATCTACATCTGGCTTTCTTCAGGTGCTTGTCAATCCAGATAACCTTCATGGAATTTTAAACTAAACACTTTATTTAATCTAAAGAGGTGGAATGTTCTCATTCCACTGCTCATGTCTAGGGATATCTTGCCTAGTTCTTATTTAGTACTGCTTAGTTATTGTTTACACTGTTTCCACTCGCCCTGTTACTGCTGAGTCTAATGTTGGTTGGTTCTTTTTGTTTAGTGGCATATCAACACCTCTATGGGTTATTTAATGGCGAAACCTAAATATTTTGTATGAAATTTTATTTTATTTTAGAGATAATAATAGTTTTAATGATACAAGTCTTACTAATTAACCCTAACTGGGGGAAGGAAAGGTGGATTCATGCCATTCCCAAGAGTGGGCACCTTGATGTGGTGTAATGGTTAGCAAACTTGTCTTGCTAGAACAATTATGACTGAGTTTGATCTTCACTGGGTGCCCCATAATTTCAGCCTTATACCATATCTCAGCTATGCTTAAAAATTCACCATTCCTTTCGTCAAGGGTATTTGCAAGTAAGTGAATATAACAAACTCAACAGGAATTGGAACTCAGCTCACAAATTAACAATTTCAAGCTATTATGCATTACACGACCTGCACATCCAAGCTTATAACACCTGGTATTCCCAAGTGAGCACCCATCTATGTACTGACCAGAAACATTGTTTAACTTCCGTAATTGTACAGGGACACGTGTTTCAACATGTTGTGGCCTTGATAGAGCCAGAAATAAAATCATAAAGAGAGAAATTGAGTTAAACAAATATATTAACAGAAACAGTAATACAAACATATACAAACGAGAGTGTTTCAGCAAGAATGTTCGGTCCGACTGTCAGAGCTGACTGCTGGAAACTTCTCTCTGAAAAAGGCAGTACCTGCTCCTATTTATAGCTGGCAGAGTTCATGTATGCATGGGTAAATTACCATAACACAACATGATGTCAATGTAAACATATGAGAGTAGCCTAGTGGATTAAAGCATTGGTTCATGAATTTGGTGACATAGTTATTGTGAGTTCAATCCCTGGGCCAGGTAGGACAGACTTAGACTCAACGGAAAGAAGGTAAGCAATAAATGAGAAGTACTAAAAAGAAGAAAAAGATGAGATATCCCTAGACATTGAATGAGAACAATCATATAGATTAAATAATGAGTTCAATTTGAAATTTTCTCTAGGTTACGTAGATCGACAGATTGTGAAAAAGACTGAAGAACACAAAAGTCAAAATGCTGCGATAATAGTAACAAAAATGAGAGCAATAATCTAAATGTAAATAACATAAATAATAATTTGAATTTAATATTTGATTAATATCAAAGTATTCATAAGGGATAAATGTATTAATACTTATTGTTTTCCTTTCATTTCCTACTAATTTGAGTTGAATCTAGCCAAACATTAAATTATCAAGGAATATGATAAATATATTAAATACATGTCTATTTTATTTTTATCATCATCAGTTCTAACCAATGTTTTGATTCTAACAATAACAACAAAAAAATACACCAATCCTTTTATTATTATTATTATTATTTCCATTATTATTATTATTATTAACAAATTGCATAATGTCTTTTGTTTGTCACTGTTTTCAGTATTTGTTCCATGTAAATACTACATATGTATTTGTGTGTATGTATGTATGTTGTTTATAGTAAGTATTTTGGTACAAAAAAAATCAATCTTGATTGGTGAAGTTGATTTTCAAGCTATCATCTCGGGCTTTGTGTTATTTAATATTATGAACAATATTGAAACATGAGCATTTAAAGATATCTTGTCAAATGAAGGATAATTTTAATTTGGTTTTAACATTTTATTCTATTTTTTTTAATCATTTCACCCCAAACAGGGCAATAAAGCCACTAAGACACAAGTGATTACTGAAAGTGAAAGAATAAGAAAAAAAGGAAACATTATTAAAGAGCTATAAAAATAAAAGAAGATTCAAGTAGACAGTAGATAACAATTGACATTGCATTTAAATTTTTGGAGATCAAAGTTGACTGGAAAGCATTAAGCTAGAAAAGAGTTCCAAAAGTTGTAAGAGAAGAAACGTTTAGCATAGAACTTATAGATGCATCTAGCCAAATTATGCTTGCTCTATCAGAATGCCAGCTATTGTAATTCATAATTCTATGAGTTTATCCGGGCTGTCAAAAATCAAAGCTAATATTAAACTACTGACATATTTTTTAATAAAAACCAAACATTGCTACAATTTGTAATGTTTTTTTTTTAACCTACTTTGTTCAGATAAGCATTATATGCCATTATTTACAAGATAGAAAATATCAGAGAAATTCTTGAAGTTATGTATTAGTTTGAAAGTTTTTGCAGTAGCACCTGAAAAACTACCATCCAAATATTAAGGATATTGTGTGTGGCCATTATAGTACCTGAAGTAGAGGTACCATGATTGGCATAAAGAACAGTGTAAGTTTTCAAAGGCAATTGGAAAGACACAGGTTAGTAATCTTTATTCTGCAAACAATTGTTTGTTTGTTTTGTTGTGTTTTTTGTTGTTTTTTATTGTTTTTTGTTTTTTGTTGTTTTTTGTTGTTTTTTTGTTTTTTGTTGTTTTTTTCAACAAAGTTCACCAAGTACAAGGTTCAAGAGCCACTTAAGATAAAAGGTTACTGAATGAGGTGTAAGATATAAATGTGAGAGGAGGTAGTAAGAAGTGAACATTATGAGGATAGATAACAAATCTAGGATATTAATCATTGGAAATCTAATCCCTGATTGAAATCAGTAAAGCCAATCAACTTTTATTAATAGTTCATTTGTCCCTTGGAAAAATAAATTAAAATGATGACAGAAATATTTAAGTCATTTTTTGATATTTTATAATTAGAATAATTACAATTTAGGCATCCCTCAATTAGTGTGGTAAAATTTTTACATACCAAAATTCAATTAGTGCATACGTAATACTCGATTAGTGCATTAAAACATACTTCAGTTTAACCATTGATTTTTTTTTATAGTTACTGATGTACAAATTAGCTGCACTAATCAAGGGATTCCTGTACAATTACTATCCATTTGAGAGTGAACCAAACCTTACCTAACAGCTAAAAATTCAAGGGGTTACTGGGAGTGAAAGTGAATGAAAAAACTTTAGAAGGAAGCAGAAACCAAATCCTAAACAGGAAATAAGGGGTAAACCTCTACTCTTTTTCAAAAAACTGAGAAGGGGTGTGAACTGGATGATAGGCAAACCTATAAATAGAGAAATAGTATAGTGATCCAAATATAGAAATAGTATAGTGAATAGAGTAGAGAATAGTGATCTGTATAGTAATAGAGGATAGACTAGAAATGATGATCCAAATAGTAATAGAGGATAGACTAGAACTGGAGATCCTTTAGATGCAAAGCTAATTCCTAATTATGCATTTCCACTATGGCCACGTGGTCTACTTAATTCAATAATGGGATCGCCTATGTTTTCTCACTGGCAATCTATGTTCAGACTCAAGTGTCAGCAGCGACACTTCTTTCCTATAGAACACATTTTTTCTCCACCATTTTATTTTTATTTTTATTTTTTTTTTTTAGTAATGGGTAGTTATTTTGCACCCTGTTTCCACTGAATCTTTCTGTAGTACCCAGCCCAGGGATTGAACCCATAATTAGTATTCTACCACATAAAGTACATACAATTTACATAATCATAATTTTTCACCCCATCAATTCAGATATAAATTACTGAATTGTATCAAATTGGCCAGAAAGTTCTGCCTCACCTAAGAAGTGGCAAGAAAACAGCAAAATTTTATAGAGCAACAACAAAATTTATTCTTCAAAATAAAGTCCATCATTCTTGACGATCTTCTGCCAGCAATCAGCCAGCATCCAAATCTGTTCTAGATAACAGTCTACTGGCTTTGAATCAAAAAAATTCTAAACAAGCTTCCTTCACTTCATCAAGTGTTGAATTATTGGTCGCAAAGGAATTGTGCCATTGAGTGGCCACTCAGAACAGCATCAGGACTGAATGGTGGATGTGGAAGAATCTCAACATCGTCGATTTGTTTGAACTTCTATTTAGGTAACCTGGAAGAATGTAACCTCACATTGTCTTGCTGAAACAAAACCCAATTTTGACGGACCATAGCAGGATACTTCTTCATCCCTTCTTTAGTTTATCATACACAAAGTCTAGCTGCTGGCAGTACAGTTTAGCATTGATGGCACAACTGTAAAGAATAAGCTCAAAATGCAGTACTCCTTGAAAATTCCACCAGACAGAGATCAAAATTTGCCATTTTCTTTCCACTTTCTAAGTGAGTCAGGACTTTCTGGTCATCCTAATATTTTCTTAACCCTGCATTAGTCACCTCATATTTCTGAAAATGAATAGTCCCCTGGGGTATTTACTCATCCCAATAAAAAAAATGCTTATATTGTTACAATTATGTTAATATTGTCATACTGGTGAAAAACAAAAGCAGGCAACTTCTGTTACAATTCTGTAGAATGATGTTTCTTTTGCCTCAAGCTTCCTCATCATCTGTGGGAATTTGCTAATGTAAATCTGGCCCAGGGATTGAACCCTCAAGCCATCAAATATATGGACCAATGTTTTAATCCAAAATGATGACTTACTATCTTCATTAAGAGAAAGAAGTCCTTCTCTCACTGGTGTATAGATCCACAGCCTCACTACACTAGTGTTGCTACTGTGATTTCTGTTGCAAGTAGAATCTTTATATCTTAAAAGTTTTGGATTCTGAGTTGTCCTTTTTCTAAACTTACCAGTATCAAAGTGGCTCAACTATTTAATCCTAGTTGCAGGGAGCTAAATATAAATTCCTAACTTGTCTTAGGGTATTTGTGCAAAAGTGAATGAAAAAACATAGCAGGAATCTGAAATCAGCATGGTGATCCCATTGTCTGCACCACACTACATGCAGTGTTCAGAATTACTCACTCCACCCCCTTTATAAGTAAATGAAAATCTCTCATTCCAATTGGAATCATGCCTGATAAAACCTTTCAAAATCTGAATTGTCTTTCTCTTGATAAATACTGAATGTAACAAACATTTCTTATGTATTTTTGCAGCAATGTTTCAGATTACGGCTTCAATGGTTGCATAAAAAATGTACAGATCAACTCAAATGCTAATGTATTCAAAGAAAGCAATTTGTTGTTTGAAATGAATCCTGGGTGCCCACCACCGGTAAGTAATTTAAAAGAAAACAAATTGATTAAATTATATATTTTAATCATTTCACCACAAGCAAATCAATAAAGCCACTAAGACATAAGGGGTAATTGAACATTAGGAGATATGAGGAAAAAAAAGACTATTAAGGAGATAACAATTGGCATTTAGATTTTTGAAGATCAAAGTTGACTTGGAAGCCAGAAACAAGAAAAAAATTCCACAGGCAAGAAAAGAAACTGTCAGCTTAAAACTTACGGTTACATCAAGCCATTTCAACTGTAAATTGATGAGACCTTGCTGTCAATCTAATATAGCATTTTTTTCTCTGTTAGTAATGCTTTTTTTGTTTATTTTTTAAAATCATTTCACCCCAAGCAAGTCAATAATGCCACTAAGATGTAAGGAATTACTGGAAGTGAATGACAAAGAGAAGACTTTAGTGAGAAGAAAAGACAATAAAAGAAAATTTTCAGGAAGACAGAAAATAGTGATTGACATTACATTTAAATTTTTGAAGAACATAAATAGCATCCCAGCAAGAAACCAGAAGGGAGTTCCACAGGTGAGAAGTACAAGAAGAAAAACTATTTGAAGAGAACATCAAGCTAGTTCAAGAGTGAGACTTAAAATTCATAGTTGAGGTATCAAGGAGGAAAGCTCAATAGAACAATTGCCATGAAAATATTTGTAGAAAAGACTGAAGTGGAAAAGTAACTGAAGTCAAGATGCCAGGTCAGGATCAATTATTTTACAGCCTCTTCTTTAGATTTTGTCAAGAATCTTGAGACATATAGTAAGAACACCAGACCAGATATGCCAGCAGTATTCAGTGCATGGAAGAATGGTAGATTTATAAATGTTCAAGACAGATTCTGATGAGAAACATTACCTGGCATAGATCAGCACACCAAATCTGCTTGAATTAATCCTTAACAACTTTACATCCTTTCTATTTTTCAATACATTTCTACAGTAAAATCATTTGTAACATTTTTTTACAGTAAATCACTAGCCATGGATTTATAAATATAGTAGCCATGTTTTCTTGGTAACACTTACATTTATTTCTGACTGCATAAACCTCTTCCTGATTTTCAGTATTTGTCTATAATAAAAACTATGTGTATATATATATATATATATATATATATATATATATATATATATATATTTATTGGAGAAAATGTATGACAAAAGGTAAAAAGTTCTCTTGTGACATGCTTCATCCATTAGGACTTCATTTGAATAAATTTGTCATGTTGGTAGGACTACATATGTGCATGAACAAAGGATGCTGGAAATTTTAATTTTAAATTATTTTTTTAACTAAAGAATGAAATGCATCAAAAGAAAAACTTTTTACATTCTGTCACAGATTTTCCCCCAATATTGTTCTTGATATATAAAAATATATATCATTATCTCATATATATATATATATATATATATATATATATATATATATATATGAAGAAAATATACTGAAAAAACAAACAAATAACAGAAATCTTTTATAACAAAACACTGATCTTATAAAAGATTTCAGTTATCTGTTTGGATTGGTATTGCTTTTATGTCCATCGTCTTTTTCATGTTGAATTGTATATGGTCTATGTTAATTATGTTTTATGAATATTTCCTGAAGATGATCTATTAGACCGAAACGTCCAACGTTGACATTAAACATTAAAACTGCATAATCGCATATTAGGATTTGTGTTTGTTTTTCAGTATATTTTCTTCATACTGTCGGATCTATATCCATATATTTGCTTACATATATATATAAATGTAATGAAAATGTTAATGTGTCACTGTGTCAGACTTTTTCAACTTTACTCCTAGAGGCTATAGCCCAACATATCATACCATTTTGTAATCAGGCTGACTATTGAGCCAATTAAAAACATTCCAGGATAGATCTAGTCCACAATCCTGAAATTTGGGATTCCCAAGTTTTCATTACTGTGATTATTTTTAGGGTTGTTTTTTTTTTTTTTAATGTGATTTTTTGCAAAAAAATTTTTGTATGATAACAATATTTATATGTTTGAAATATATTTGGGAATAATTGAAATTAATTGCCAAATCCAGCGAAAGTCACTCATGAAATAAAAATAATTGTTTGTACAAAAACTAAGGACCTATATACATGAAATTGCCTTTAAATTAAATGGAGGCAGAAGAATTATTGTTGAATTTTTAAAATCTAAGCTTAAATATTAATGCAAAATATATATATATATAATAGCCTTATTTTGTCAGTAATGTTTGCATTAATTCCTATGACAATCCCTTGCTTTCTGATTTTTAATGGCTTTTGTTTTATTTACCAACATATCATGCTGTTAAAATATAATCATGATTATTGCTTTGCCTTTTGACTTTTACCAGTAAAAGTTGTTGTGCTTGTGTTGTAGCATACATACAGACAATAATGTGTATGTCCCCATTCACCTAAATGCAATTGGAGATTTGTCTGCAGCTGTGCTGGTCAAAGTCTCTGCCTCCAGACAGGGAAGATCCCCAGAAGAGGCTATGTTGAAGGCTCAGAATATTGTCTTGGAAAAACAGCTACCCGACCCTATTTTATACAGGCTCTATAAGGAATTTTTGGCCCAGCCTACAGGCTTTGATACCCCACATTAAAATCGGCCTTGTGCCACATCTGACTGTGTGGGGTGGTTGGTAGATATCCTGCAATTGGTGATTCATTGTGGAATTCTCTTGACTCACTTCTAGCAGTTGATGACTTCTTCTATTCTTCTACATGTCACTGGCGAATCTTATATGTGTTGTTCTTGCCCTAAGTATTATCATTCATTACCAATTTGTGTATGATTATTCTATTCAGTAACCTTCATTAGGTTACAACAGTTTATATGAATGCAGTGCTTAGAGGGCATGAAAGTTGTGATGTTTTTGTTTAATAAATCTGATCTCTAGGCATCTTACAGTTTCATCTAGCCATTCATCTAGCCTATAAAACGATGTGAATTAGTTGCAAATCTAGTTGCATTTTATCAAAAATATTTAAATACAGAGCAGAAGCACCAGACCAGATATGATAGCAATTGTTAATTCATGGACAATTGGTAGAATTATAAGATAGATTCTGGAGATAAATATTGTCTGGTACAACACAGTGAACCAACTTTCCTAGCTACAGACCTAGCAATTGATTCAATATAATTTACCAGTAGAATTTTGATGTATTTGTATAAATGTAGTGCTTAGAGTGTATGAAAATTGTGATGTACTTCTTTAATAGATTTATCTGTAGAGATCTTGTTTTTGTAAAGAAAAAATGAAATAAATAAAGTATATATACCGTATATACTCATGTATAAGTCAAAGTCATGTGTAGTGCAACCCTTGAATTTTTTTGCATGTATCTTAACCCCTTCAAAATATTTTTACGCGTATATAGTGCTACTGGTCACCAAAATTATATGATTTTTAACCCCCTTCAAAATATTTTTACGCGTATATAGTGCTACTGGTCACCAAAATTACATGATTTTTAACCCCCTTCAAAATATTTTTACACGTATATAGTGCTACTGGTCACCAAAATTACATGATTTTTAACACCTTCAAAATATTTTTACGCATGTATAGTGCTACTGGTCACCAAAATTACATGATTTTTAACCCCTTCAAAATATTTTTACGCGTGTATAGTGCTACTGGTCACCAAAATTACATGATTTTTAACCCCTTCAAAATATTTTTACGCATGTATAGTGCTACTGGTCACCAAAATTACATGATTTTTAACCTCTTCAAAAAGAATTATCTGTGTATAGTGAAATCCCTATAATTTGCATGAAAAAAACTGATCATAAAAACTCTTAATATACTCAAGTATATATATAGTAATTATTAATATCAGCAATTTATTTTTTATATATTTTCTTAGCAACATTTACATCTAATTCTAATTGCATAAAATCCCTTCTTGTGTAAGATAGATTCTGGCAAGAAAAATTGTCAAGCACAACACAATGAATCAACAAACCTAACAATTGATTCAAGATAATTTGCCAGTAAAATCTGCTGTTTATATAACTCTAATGCTTACAGTGCACAAAATCTGTAGGGATTTTGTTTTTGTCAGTATTTCATCTTGAATACGTGTTGATTTAATATTTTGGTCTGTCTTTTAGGTTGCTAGAGCTGCCAAGTTCATGTCTATTGGAAATAACTATGTCTATGGTTCCTACTTTGCATCTTCGATCCAATTCCATGTAACAATGAAATTCAAATCAGACTTAAATCGGAACAATGGACTTCTGCTGTATATAAATCTGGAAACTGATCCTGTAAGTAAATCAAGATTTATTTTTTTGCATGCAAGTTTAAAACTATTAGGAGATTCCATCATCACCATACAGACTCTGAATTTCCACCAATTAGGATGAATGGGTACTCACTCAGGGAAGCTCCATGCTTTGAGTGCCTATTTGGACTTAAAATCAACCCAGAACTTAAGTGGAACTTGTACATACAATCCATCACTAAAAACAAATGGTAGATTTCCTGTACCTGGCTCCTACAATTCTCTACCTTTACAAGAGCCAGATCTGGTCCAAAATAGTGTACTGCAGCCATATATAGGTAGGAGCTGCATAGAAAAATGGTTGGTTCTATGTACCACTTCAGTAACTACCTGACTCCTCTCACTATCCTATACATTTACAAGAGCCAAATCAAGCCCAAAATGGAGTACATATAAGCTGCCAGTCTTGATAGTCCAAAAGCATAAAAAAAGAAGATAACTCCAGATCATGATCCATTTCTAAGAAACTTTTAATTTTTCTTTTTTGCCTAGTTTAAATCGAATGTAGGTCATATTTGATTGGTTGATCAGGATAAAGCCCTCAAGCCTTATAGAAGATGTATTTTGCTTTAGAAAAAAAATTAATTGTTCCCTTGCCAGTAATTTACAAATCGCCTAAGGAGACGCATTGAAACACAACTGCAATTGTGTAGCAATTTTTACATGTTGTTTTAATATCCTAAAATATATATATATATATATATATAAATAAAGAAGTGAACATTGAAGTCAACACTCTGATATTGAGCACTTTATCCCATAAATATAGCACACCTTAAAACTATATATATATATATATATATATATATATATACAAAATATGTATGTATATAAATATATACATATATATATATATGTATGCAATTTTTATATATATTATTTATGTTATATATACGCTGTATTTATTAGAAAGCGCTCAATATCAGTGATAGATTTAACATATTTGTCTGATGATTGCAAATAGTGTGAAACCCAGGGTCACAAACTCACACCAATGCAACTATCTATCTATCTCTCTCTCTCTCTATATATATATATATATATATATAGAGAGAGAGAGAGAGAGAAATATAAATAAGCATCTCTTAAAAGAGTTTGCCATGTATGCACACTGGAAAGTAAAGTGCTCAGTACCATACAATGTGGTAGAGGTTTTCTAAACAAACAATCACCTTTCAGGTGTACACAGTCCAACCACTACTACAGGTTTTATGCCTTTGAGCAATCATCAGGTGGTCGGCAGCTATAATGCCAAATGGGAGCTTTTATACCTCCAAGAAAGACCAAGATAGAAAAAAAATATGGACAGTGTTTGCACACCATGCATAAGTCTGGTGACTTGTGATGCCTGGGGATGGAGTTCTGGTGACTGAGTGACTCCTGATCCAGTATAAAATGACCAGGAGTGTCCACAACACATCACTTCGGTCCCTACCTGGAATAGACAGGCAGATGAAATAGCCCAATCCATTCCAATTGACTAGTTACATAGTGGCAAGGGTTAGTTGGGATGATAGATAATGGCTCCAAATCCTTACACCATGCCTTATACAACTACACTTTACATCGTCAAACAGACATAAAAAGCAATGAATAAGAATCCTTCTTTCCTTCGTTTCATACATAAGCACCACCGTATTGAATATCAGGGTGTTCATAAAAAAAAACCTTCTTTTACAAGAAAGGCTATAAAAACAAAATAACATTG